TATGGCAACTGTTTCACTTGAGCTAGAGAAACTTATCTGCCCCTCCTCCCTGACATATCACAGAACCAGCTTCCCACTAATGGCAGGGAGGGGACACTGTGTAATCAATGCAGAGACCTAGGAATCTTTGGAGAGAGCTGATAAAGGTGCAGAGGTTCTTAGCAAAGAGTTCGAGGCTATTAGTGCTGAACTCTTCAAATAGCTCAGTCTAACCAAAACCTCTTTATGGAAACTCATTTTAAAGTTAAAATTTCCAGGCTTATGCCAAGTGCACCCAGCCTTCACTCACTGTGGTGCTTGGTCCTTGGTGCGCCACTGTGACCCATGGGGAGGGTCGGCCTGGGGGCCAGATTTAACCCATTGGAATTAATAATGGCAGCCAGACTCAGCTTTGGACAAAGAAAATTCATCCTAAAATGCTACTGGAAGTTTGAAAATGCAGTCAAAATACTAAGACAATTTATGAGGGAGTTTCAAACAGGTCCCCCTATGAGACTTACCATCACTTGAATTAGAGATAAGTTTGAAGCTGATGGAACTAATATTCAGAATGTCCGCAAAAAGCGTTCTGGAAGACCACAGCCATAGACAAGCCCCACAAAGCAAGAAAGAGTACTGGAAATGTATCACCAAAGTCCAAGAAAATCTGTGTAGCAAACAAGTTGTGATATAGGAATTTCAAAATTGTCCGTTGTATTTTAAAGCACTACCACTGGAAAAGTGACTTCCAAGGTTAGTCCATGTAACCAATGAAGATGATCGGACCTAAGAGTGGAGTATTGCAAATGGAATTGGCAAGATGTGTAGAAGATGCGCACACTTTCCAGCAAAGATTGAATGAAGTAATGAAGCTACATTTAAATTAAATGGTTCGATTAACCAGTACAGCTGCACCTACTGGGGACCTGAGAATCCACATGTTATGGTAGAACATTGCCGGGGCAGACCAGCAGACCTTGAGGGATGGATGAACAGATTACTCTGACACAGGTTTCTGTGAAAGAGAGGGCTAAGGGAATCTTTTACTTCAGTAGTAAAAGCAGTCCTGTTCACCTGCCTCCTTTGCTTTTTATTCTAACAACAGTTTGAACTCAAATTAATCTCTAGATACAATCAGTAGGGCAAGTATTCTTGAGTAAGTATATGCTTCTACAAGGTCAGGTCTTTAAAGACTAAACATAGAGATTCTAGCAAAATACCCCAGGGATGGGACTTGTTTAGAAAAATCAAGGTAGGAGCTGTTGCCCTAGGCAAGGTCCCCTCAGAGGCCTCCAACCTTTCAGAGAATCCTCCTTACAGACATTCCAACCAAGTCCCGTGCTTCCCACATCTCTTCTTTTTTTGTTTTGCTGGAAGACAGAGGGAGGCGGTGAACTTTCTGCTTTGGAAGGTTGGGGTTTGCAAAGCGTGTTTTATTGCTGGAGTTTTGATTTTGTAGACAATAAGAAAAACCGAGAGAATTACAATGACAGCAATGGTTAGTTCGATTACGTATTAATTGATTTTAGGAAACCATGTGGTGTGGTTTATTTATTTTAATTGTTTTTTTATTGTATTTTAAGCAGTAGTCTGTTTTTTATGTTTATTGATAGCAAGTAAGGATTTTTTAATTTGCCTTTGTAATATGTTTATTTTTTAGTAAGGTTATTATGAAAGACTTTTTATAGATATTTTTTAATATTAATTTAATGATGGTGACTATTGTTTTATTTTAAAGGGGTGATATATATATGTGCTTATGTTTTTAATTACAATTAAGCACTTGCCTGCATGCTATATTGTTTTGTGTTTTTTTAAAAAAGATATTTAATGGCTGCCTTTATTGCTTGTAGTTTAGCTAATATTTTTATTTATTTTTTTCATTAATTAAATCTTTATTGTTCAGATTATTCCATTTGTTCCTCTTTTTTACCCCCATAACTTCCCTCCACCCATTTCCCACCCCACCCTCCTCCCTCACTCCCCACCCACTGTCCTCATTCATAGGTGTACGATCTCCTCTATGCCCTCTTCCACCTCCACCCACCCTGCAATCACCTCACTGTTGTCCATGTCCATGAGTTCTCTCTCTTTTTTTTTTCTCAATCCCTCCACCACCACCCCCAGCTATTTCTCCATCTCCCCACCTCCTTGAAAGGGATTTAAAGTTAGTGTAGGTTCCAGAATTTCTGTAAAGGTTTTCTGAAAGGATGACTTCAATCCATACTGACTGATCTACCTAACCAGTGTGTAATGCCCAGTTAAGTTACCAAGGCATGAAGATTATTACTGGTGATTCAGCTCAGCCATAACACAATTATTGGACCAATAAAACGTAATAGTATCTTTAATATATTAATCCTGTAAACCAAAAGTATAAATAAATGTTAGGGGCTATTTGAACCCAGGACCATTTTCTAAGACTGGACGTTTTTGAAAGAACCAAATATCAAGGACCATTTGCAATGGAACAAATATGCTCATGGACGTTTTTGATATTATCAGATATCAAGAACCTTTTGGTGTGGACCAAATGTCCCTGTGGACGTTTTAGACAGGACCAACTGCCCTGCAAGGGTAAATTGAATGGAAAAGCTTAAAGCCATTAGAATTCTTTTGGCTGTGTTAAATACTCAAATTTTATTTCTACAGGTTTAGAAGATATATTCTTTTTTTGTTTTTGTTGTTGTTAATCCTCACCCAAGGATATTTGTTCCATTGAATTTTTAGAGAGAGTGGAAGGGAGGAAGGGAGAGGGAGAGAGAGAAACATCAATGCCAGAGACACATCAATTGGCTGCCTACCACATGCGCCCGGACTGGGGATTGAACCTACAACCCAGGTTCAGGTTGACTGGGAATGGAACCCAAGACCCTTTGGCATATGGGCCGACACTCCAACCACTCAGCAACACTGTCCAGGAGAAGATTTATTTTTTACCTTTGAATTCTAAAAGTTTTACACTAAGTCTCAGAGTTGACCATTTGGGGTTAATGTTTTTTAGTACTCAGTGAACTTCTCTAGTGTTAAATTCAGCCCCTTCCTGTTACTATAAAGTTTTCTTAGATTATAGTTTTAAAAAATAGCTACATTCCATCACTTAATTTTTCAAGGAACTCTGATACTACAAACCTTACTCTTCCCTGCATTTTCACTAGTTCCAATACTATTCTCACTTCCATTCTAGTCCTTTCCTTCTGACCATTTTTTTTCTTTATGTCATTTTTTTTATATTCACTTTCCTTGGTTATTTTTCTGCCTTTCTTTAATGTCTTTTATTAAATTACCATTTGAATCTTTTCTACTTTAGGCACCTTTTAATTTATTATTTATCTCTGAGTTAATTTTGTCTTTTTTATAATTTCTTTGCTTAGTTCATTTAAAAAATTCCTGTTTGCATTTGTAAATTTCTGTTTCAAGGTGATTTCATATCATTAAATTCCTGTTCAAGTATCTTTAATTCTCTATGGATTGTTGTCTTACAGCTTTGCTCTTTCATCAAAGTTTTTGGTGAGGCATGTGGATTTTCCTCAGTTGAAATTTATCAGTTGAATAAAATTCTGTTTCCTCAATGACTTTATAGGAATTTGTTTTTCCTAATGTTCATTTTTAACATTTTCAGGCATTTTGCAAGGTTTATAGTTTAATGGTACCTTTTCTGTCAGAATAGAAACTCAGTTTCTTTGGTGGCTTTTCTTGTTTGTTTTGGTACTGGTGTGATTGATTGTAAGCCTTATTTTATGGATTTATTTTGTCTTGGAGGATAGCCTCCTTTGAGTCTTGGTATGCTTTTCTCTTTCCTTCTAGTTGTAGAATTTCCCCTCAGCCAGCCTTCCTGTGGTTTTGCATGGTGTCCATTCCATCTTTTATTTGTATTTTTGAAGTGGTTGTTCGAGGCAGCAAACTCCGGTGTTTACCTATGCCGCCATCTTGGTTTCTTCCTATTTTTTGATTTATGTGCTGTAGTATAGTGAATTTTTTAAAAAAATGTAATTTTTTACTTTTCAGTAAAATTAATACTTTTGACAAATCTTCCCTGAAATTATGAATTAACTGCTCAGAATTAACAAGAAATGGATTCTTTCATTAAATTTATAAAATATTTAGCTTATAAGAAACAATTTTTTAAAGTATTATTACACAGCATTCAAAGATTATAAAGCTGTCTTGAGATTTCAAACTGAGAAATCTATGCAAGAGTTTTAAAAAGTGCATCAATCAAGGTACAGTTTAAATATTAATATTGAACCCCCACAACCAAGAATTACCCAGCCCAAATGTTAACAGAACCAGTGGTAAGAACCCCTGTGGTAGAGTATGACCCAATTTCCATTTTACAAATAGTCTGTCCCCTGTAATTCTGAGAACACAGACTGATAGACACCATTTAGGCTCTGACCTGCTCCCCTAATTTAATATCTTAATATGGAAAGTTAATTTGAGCTGTTCTGAAGCAGCTAAGCAGACAGTTTCTGTTGCACATTTTTCTGGACTATGATAAAACTCTAGTGATATGTAAAGCACCTGGCAAATGAAGTGCTCTATGGGTTCTGAAAATGTCTCAACACATCGCAAATAAAGAGCTTCACTTATTTGTTCAAATTTGTCAGTGTTACAGAAAAACCAGAGAAAGAACCAAGCAACGCTTAGAATGATGGAGTTACATTTATTATGTGCGGGCCCAGAGGAAAATGTCTCTCAAATTCTGGGTGCAATCACACAGGAAGTTTCTCATATTTATACGATCTTACCCTCTTTGTCTCCCAAATATGGGGTTTTTCTGGTTCCCTTCGCAAGTTCTTAAAGGGCCCTATGTGCTGGGGCTTTGAGACCTTGACCAAAGGCTTGGCCTGACGCCAGCACTGATAACTCCATCTGGAGAAGGTTTAATGGCCTCTCTGAAATGGGAGTAGTCTTACTTTCCATTTTATTTAAGCCAGCAAGCATTTACAGAAGCCAGAAATAGCAGGGTTAAAATTTCAAACAACAGCTTTTATATAAGATGGATGCTTCATCAGGACTGTTTAGACAGGTTAAGTTTAGTTGATTTGCTTTTTAAAAATAATCTTTCATAAATGTCCTTTACAAATAGGAGTGCATATATGTGGGGTGTGTGATACAAGTAAGAATTGTCAGCATCTTTTCCACACAAATTCGGGTTGTAAAGTACCAGTGTATCCAATGAGAATTCTACTGGGGATCCCAATTTTTAAAAAATCATTTTAAGTTTACTAAGTAGAGACATTTTTCGTGTTTTACTAATCATTCATCTCCACATTCACATTCTGTGTATTTTCTCATGGTCAGCAAACTGATTCAAATTATTTAAGTTATCCCACCATGTAAAGAGAAAAGTTTCTGCAATACATTGAAACCATGGAGTTATCTTAATTTCACCGCTGGCTGCCTTTTCCAGCATTTCTTCCACTTCTTCCTTTGACACATAGCAATAGCTTTTAATCTCATTGGGGTCTGGATCCAAAGTCACGTTCTTTCTCACAAACAAAATGTAATCAATTTCATGTTCTCCCCAGATACTATCAGACTGAGCCTTGTAGTGAATTCTAGTCAGATAATTAATTTCTTCTAGAGGAACCTGTTCCATGGGAATTCCCAATTTGGCCTTTAAACGCCTCTGTGCTGCTTGCCTAACTCCAATTGCATCATTCTCTTCAAGCTCTCCTGGGTTACTTAAGGGATGACTATAACAAGTATTGGTAAAACAACCTGGAAAGGTAATTTTAGCATCTGATCTCTGCTGTAGCAGGAGTTTATTGTCAGTGTTGAATAAGAAGACACTAAAAGCTCGATGCAATAATCCTTTCTCAACGTTTTCATTCAGGTGACAATTCTTTTTGGTCTCAGCCCCAATTTTATTGTCATTTTCATCAATAAGAATGCACATCTCTGCCAGGAGCTGAACCTGCTGCTCATCGAGATGGTTGGTGTTGATTTCAGGCATCGTGACAGAATGTCCAACCTGTCCTAGAATCCTGAGATGCCGACAGTCAGTGGGCTGCCGCTCCACCGAGTGCGCCTTCCCGCGGTCCAGGCCCCTGATGCCGTGAACCCAATCGCCGGTGGCCGTGCCCCAAGTGAATTTTTTAGTTATATTATCAGCCATATTGTCTACAAATGTGGCCGTTTGCACAGATTTAGAAAGGGCCGCCACAGCAACGCTGGCAGTAGTAAGAATAACAACAGCCAAGATAATGACTGCAATGAGTATTCCCAAAAATCTTTTGGGCCGTAATTGGCTTAATGCTTTTTTTAAAGACTTTGATAGCTGATGAGCCTTGCCATTTTTTGGTGAGATTAACAGGTATTAGGATTTTTGTTTGTTTTTTAAGTACCATAATAGTGTCAATGTTTAATGAAGTAATATTTTGGGTGGTAAAAAAAAAAATTAAAATATCCAATACATTTTCTCCACTAGTTCCTTTGTACTTCTTCCATGTCACACGTGATATACTTCTGGTGGAATTCAAAGGAAATGGTTTTGATAAAAGGAAAACAGGAACAATACTGCTTGTTCTATGAAGTCTCAGGAGGAGCTGGAGGATGACATAGCAGTTTGGGGTTCTCTTAGGCAACTCTCAAGCACACCAACTGTAATGAGGGGTCTTACTTTCTAAGAGAAGGGATGAGTACTTTTCCAGCTGTCAATCATACTTTGCTGGATCAGTCTGATATTCCTTTTTTAAAAAAATATATTTTATTGATTTTTTACAGAAAGGAAGGGAGAGGGATAGAGAGCTAGAAACATCGATGAGAGAGAAACATCGATTAGCTGCCTCCTGCACACCTCCTACTGGGGATGTGCCCGCAACCAAGGCACATGCCCTTGACCGGAATAGAGCCAGGGCCCCTTCAGTCCGCAGGCCGACACTCTATCCACTGAGCCAAACCAGTTAGGGCCAGTCTGATATTCTTGGTAAATTTCTTCAGGGATTTCACTTGGTTCGTCATGGCTACTTCCTCAAGCTACGTTGAAATCACCAGCTAGTGATTTCATTTTAGTCTCTCCCATCACCTTTAGTCTCCTCCCCGCCCCTCACAAGCATTTATAGTTATAATTTTCATCTCTGAAAGTGAGAATCATAGCTCTTGATTATCAACCCCTCTGTATGAAGCCAAGTTCTCACCTCTGTTTACATGCTTTCTCCTACATGAATGCCTCCCTCAACCCTCTCCAGCACTATGCTGGGCACTCCCTCCACATGGATGCTTCTTTACCTTGTGTGGGCTCTGCCATGTCCTACCCATTCCTCACTGTGCTCTGGCTCTGACACTCATCAGAGAACTCCCTCCCCCCATGGACTTTCACCTCCCCCATATCAGTCTTCCTCCAGGGATTGGTATCCCTTCACTGCTTGGGCTCTGATCCCTTACAGTGGGCCACCTCAGTTCCACTTCTACACCCTGTTCCTCTGAGTGCCAGCACAGTTATCAATTTTGCTCTGCCTACCTGAACAGTTTAAGACTGAGTTGTTCTGGAAGATAAAGGAAAGGGAACAGAAGGGAAGGGAAGGGACGGGAAGGGAAAGAAAAAAAGAAATGGGAGAGGAGGGAAAGGCTATTGTGCTTTTTAAAATAAAAGAGGATGATTGTGAGAGATTGAATGAAAATAAGCCTGTCTAGCCCATGTTAAGGAAGAGCACATATGGAGTCTGAAGGTACAAACACTCATCTTGTTCACACTACTCCTATCTGAGTATCTTGAAGAGTCTTTTCACACCCTCCAATGTATGTACACTCTACTGTGAAGACCACTGATCTAGGCATCACAGATTAATAATAGAAAGCAAACACTTAGGAAGAGACTTCCCACCTCAGAATCCTGGCAAACAGGACCCAAGCCTTTTAATTATCATAATTATTTTACTCTAACCTCTACTGTTCTACCTCCCCACCCCTTTCCCTCCTCTTGTCCTCTTTTATCCCACTTTCCTGTCAAGAAGCACAGCTCTCTCCATCCACACCTCCCCTGTGCAGTAGAACCTTTCACAGAACACTAGGTCTTTTCTTCAAATTGCCTCCTCCTCCAACTTTGGACTGACTCCATAGGTAGGGCCTCCAGACTTACATTTATTTGTGCTGTGGGGCTGGGTCTCTCCTGATCTGTGGCAGCTCTGATTAGGGAATTTTTTCTCAGGAGCTCAGGGCTGGGAGCTGGAGGTGGTCTGGGTTAGAGGAAGAATGTGCAGAGGTGCTGAAAGGGGAAGAACTTCATGAGACTGAGGTTCATTCTCTGATGGAATTTGAACTTGGGCTGGGACTATATGTGTGGCATATCTAGGGTAGGAACAAGTATTAAATTCCACAAAGCAATACTACGTGGTCCTTTTATCATCTCTACTTTAGAATATGAAACTGATAACTAGATATGTATCTTGGTAAAGGTCAAGAACAAAAAGTGCATATAATTAGATAAAATTGATTTCCTACAAATTAATGATTAACATCATCAACTGAATCTGAAATGCTGTCTGCCAACCACACAAGTTTCCTTGAAGATGCTCTGCATCCACTTACATATCTTTTCTTTCTTCTCAATCCTCCAACCTCATCCTGTAAGTCTTCTCAACTGCCTCATTTTATTGTCCAAAGAAGCCACTGGATGAAAATGGTTTCATCTCCAGTACATCAGATCTACATACCTATACCCGCTCTCCCAAAAACAAAGCCCAACTTCATCTATCTTTAATTTCTTCCTTTTCTGTTGTAATGGAGAAAGTAGTTTTCTACCTTCATGCCCTAGGACTTCCTGTCATTTTGTGAACTAATAATTTGTGTATTAAATTCTATTCTGCTAAAAGCCTGTAGAGATTTTCCTATTTCCTATATTTTATACTGACTGATACACTCAAGTCCCAATTTTCTCATCTGTTAAATAGATTTAATAATAATAACACCAGGGAGAGATGGGTCCTTGCTTGGGTTCCACACTTTAGAGGCCTCAGATGTCACAAATTCATACAAAATGCATTTATTAAGAAAATGTAGACAACACTGTCACATGGTATTCAGTGCTCAGTACAACTTGTATCCTCAAACTTCCACTCTCATAATTAACCAGTATTCAGGCCCAGGGAAACATACCTCTATATTTTTGTCCTATGTCCTTAGAAGTAAACTGTATGTGAATGTAATGAAAGTTTATGGTTTGTATTGTGGGGTTATTTTTGTATGTTTGTGTGTTTGACAATTTCAAATACAGTTTGATTTAAGACATTCCACTTATACTACAGTGCCCAGAAAGAGCAAGGTTATTTCCTTTCTCTGTGCACATGTTCCATATTCAAGTATTGAGAATTCCAGTTACTTATGGTAGCAGTTCAGCCTTAAAAGTGCCATGGAATTTGCTATAAACTTTGGTCTTTCAATACTTTGTATGGAACAACAACTAAATGCATGTTCAGGTTGGCATGATGCGCCTCTTCTTTGGTGGGCCCAGAAGAGGAACCACCAGGTGGAAGAATTCAATCAGTTGAAAAGCCCCAGGCATTTCTCCTGGCTTACCTCCTGCACTCTGGGACAGCTTGGGAATCATAGAGTTGCAGACTTTCTCTAACTCTTTCTGCTGATACTCATATTCTTCCTTTTTTACACTCTGATTCCTATCAAGGCAGTTGAGTATCCTGTATAATAAAGAGGTAATATGCAAATTGACCATCACTCCAACACACAAGATGGCTGCCACCATGTGGTCAAAGATGGCTAGCAGGGGAGGACAGTTATGGGTGATCCGGCCAGAAGGGGAGGGCAATTGGGGGGGACCCAGGCCTGAAGGGGAGGGCAGGTGGGGGGGGCAGGCCTGCGGGGTAGGCAGTTGCAGGCGATCAGGCCAGCAGGGGAGGGCAGTTTGGGGGACCCAGGCCTGCAGGTGAGGGCAGTTGCGGGGACCCAGGCCAGCAGGAGAGGGCAGTTAGGGGCAATCGGGCTGACAGGGGAGCAGTTAGTTGTCAATCAGGCTGGCAGGGCAGTGGTTAGGGGGGTGATAAGGCTGGCAGGCAGAAGCGGTTAGGGGCAATCAGGCAGGCAGGCGAGCTGTTTGGAGCCAGCAGTCCTGGATTGTGAGAGGTATGTCCGACTGCCCAATCCCACCAGAATCGGGCCTAAGCGGGCAGTTGGACATCCTTCGAGGGGTCCCAGATTGGAGAGGGTGCAGGCTGGGCTGAGGGGCACCCCTTATCCCCCTGTGCATGAATTTTGTGCACCAGGCCTCTAGTTTCATTACAGTTGACAAGAATCTCCTGTTTATCCTCATCATTGAGCTTAATTTGAGGTTTCTCATCTTTGGCAGTTGCTTTTATTGTTGATTGTAAAGAATTCAAGGGAATTTTGGGAAGATACCTTGTGCCATCGCTTCTCATATTCAGCTTTGTACTTCACTGCTTCTTGGCCGCATGTGTTTGCTTTCTTCCTTGGTCAAATGGTTCTTGTGGTTAGTGATGGTAATCTTGTTCTCTTTTTATGTACTTTTATGCATCAAAGACATTGAAAGTGCCATTGGCATCAAGATCAAAAGTCATTTCAATCTGAGGAACACCATGAAGTGCAGGTGGTATATCTGTGAGTTCAAACTTGTCAAGTAGGTTGTTATCTGTGGTTATGGTGCACTTGTCTTCATAAACCTGAATGAGCACACCTGGCTGGTGGTCAGAGTAGGTAGTGAAGGTCTGCATCTGCTTAGATGGATTGATAGTGTTGTGCTTGATAAGGACAGTCATGACTCTGCCAGCAGTTTCAAAGCCAAGAGAAAGAGGAGTGATGCCCAAGACTTGCAAATCTCTAATGTTTTCCGAGTTGTCTCCAGATAGGATGGCTTCCTGGACCTCTGCACAGCAAGCTACAGCCTCATGAAGGTTAATACTCTTACACAGTTTCTTTCTGTTGAAGAAGTCATGTAGAAGTTTCTGAATCTTGAGAATATGAGTAGAATTACCCAGCAGAACATTATTATGGATCTGGTACTTGTCTAGCTTTGCATCCCGAAGGGTTTTCTATAAAGTGTCCAGTGTGCCACAGAATAAGTGAGCATTCAATTCTTAAACTTGGGCATTGGTAATGGAAGGAAAGAAGTTGTTTCCTCATAGAGTCACTCAACCTCAATACTGGCCTGGGTGCTGGACGAGA